CTTGCCGCTTACACGCCTCAAGCGTTCAAGCATGCTACTAACGCTCACATCGCCAAGCTTATGGAACTCGGCTTTCCCATTCCGGTCTTGTAAGTACGCACCGCGTGCATACATTTCGAACTCTCAACCTGTTAATCACTTACATAAGTCACCTAACACAACTATGCATCTATAAGTCCGTCCCGGCAAATACTAGTGTCATATTCATTTAAAGCCACTTAATAAAAAAAGCCTTCTCACTTACCGTGTGTCCTAAACAAAAGCAAGTCTATTTACTGGACAAGCTAGACTTAAGTCTTGTAAACACTGAAAACCGACAGCGACGATCCAAGTACTCCGCAAGAGCTTGCCGCGATGATGCAAAACTTCGAAACGATCCAAACTCATTTTCGAACTGCATCTTGCGGCGAAACTACTCGATGCCGCAACTTGACGCAAATCTACGAAACGATCTAAATTCGTTCCTACAAGTTCGCTTCCACGTTTTTGCCAATTTGCTTGTTTGTGCTTGTACTTTGCTGCGTTGCATTTGCGTCTTCGCTTCTCCCGTGTGGTGCACCTATGGTGCACTTGTGGGTGCACCACTCCACCGTCCACTGCTGACCGCCGTGAAAAGGTTTTTCTGATTTCAACTGGAGTTTTGATGTCCTGTCTTGATTGTTGTGAGTACCCACTCCGATGACACCGTCCGTGGTCGCCGCCGGTAGCCCCGACCGCAGTCGCCGTCAGTAGCCACGATCCGTAGCCGCCGTCCGTATCCACAGTCCGTAGCCACCGTCCGCAGCCGCCGATAGCACCGTATCCACGGTCAGCAGCCGCCAGTAGCACCGTCCGTAGCCACCGACGGTCCGTAGTCGCCGGTAGCACCGATTCGGATTTCGTGCGCGCACGCTCACTTTGGCAGGATTTTGCACGCCATGGACTAACACAAGTGCGAGGGCGAGCTAGAGTGATCAAGAGTGCCCGAACCCACCCGAGACCTCAGCTGGCTTGACTTTCATGTCCGTGCGTGTGGTTTAAGGTTGGGCCGTCACGTTTCTGGGGCAGCTCCACAGGGCACGGTAGCACCAGCACCAGCACCAGCACCAGCATCGAGAGCATGCACAGCTAAAGCACACAGCTCAGACCTCTACAACCGCGGCAGATTATGAAGTCGTGGACATGGACAGTCCTGATCGGCTTGCTGGCAGCGGTGGATGAGCCTGCAGCGGTGGAGGAGCACGTAGCGGTGGATGAGCCTACAGTGGTGGAGGAGCACGCAGCGGTGGAGGAGTACGCAGCGGTGGAGGAGCCACCCGCAGCGGCGGTGGAGGAGCCACCCGCAGCGGTAGAGGAGCCGCCGCTGGAGTGTGCATCGTCTTTCTCGACTTCTGGCGAGGCGACCGCGGAGGCTGCTGGCGGAGGCGGAGAAGGATCGCCTGGCAGAGGAAGAGAAGCGCCAGAAGCGTGAGAAGCGCGAGGCGGCGCGCCGGCAACGCCAGGAGGAGGCAGATCGCCGTGCGTCACGGCAGAGGGCGGAGGAGGCAGCGCACCGGGCGGAGGAGGCAGAGCTCCGCGCGGCGCAGCAGAGGGCGCAAGAGGAAGCGCGGGTCCTGGCGGAGCAGGAGTTCCAGGCGATGGTGGAGTCCGAGGTGGCAAGGCGCATGGCGGCTGCGCATTCGGAGGAGCAGGCCGTGCCACACGTGGTCTCTTTGCTCACGGCAATCACTGCGGCCATCGAGGAGATGCGGGAGGAGCGCCGGCAAAACGGCGGCAGCGTCAGTGGCTCAGCTGAAGCGGCTGGGTGACTTGGTGCAGACGGTTCACTCGGATGGCCAACGCTTGCACGCGCAAGGTCTCGAGCTCATGGCGTCGATCATGGGCAGAGAGCTCTCGGCGGAGGCTGCGCGGGCTCGGGAGTCCAGAGCACCGCCGAGAGCTCGCTGCAATAAGTGCGTCGCGTGCACAATCTCTCCTCCTGCTGGGTGCAGGCGTGGTCCCTGCGAAAGCTGGCGAACACCGAGGGCATCTGACGACGGCGGTGGGGTGCGTGCGCCTGGCACCCCGCGTGGACCAGACGGCCGCTTCCAGGCTTGTGCCAAACCAGAGCTTCCTGGAGCGGCTTCACCGGTGCCACCTGCCTCTCCAGGGCCAGGACCAGCGCTGCCTGGAGGAGCTTCCCCAGGGTTGCCGCCTGCTGAAGAATCCGACAAGAAGGACGACAAGAAGAGGTCGGCACAGCAGCAGAAGAAGCCGAAAAAGGAGAAGAAGCAGAAGATCA